ATGGCCTCAAATATTTTAAGAAATTTTCTGATAATGTTAAATGTATATGATCACCATCTATCGCTAATGGTCACTAGTATTCATGATAGATTACGCAGGACAGGAAATTTGAGAATCTGATCACTAATATCTTAAGTAAAATTACTAAAATCATTATAACCATTTTGAACTTAAGAGTTCCACAGATTTCATAATTCATCCTTAAGTGCAGTATACAGATAATGAACTAAAATTTGGTTCTGAAACATCGTACTGTACTTCAAAAGATTGTTGTATCTTCAAAATCAAATTAAATTATATCACTATTTGCATCCAATCCTTTTTGGGCTATATTCCCAAACTTTGGTTTATTAATGCCAACTGATAATTTAATTTTGGTTGCTTGCATCATCAAATTTGTCAAAGAAAAAGTAAATCAAGAATTTCTGGTTTAGAAATGAACATCCAATGAACATATTTTCTATAGGATAGGGTGAAGAATACCTTAGCAATTTCTCTAAATCTCCTGAAAATTTTACTTGACTGCAACTTGCTCAGAGTACTAGATAAAGCATTAACTGATGTTTTCGGTGTTTGCTCGAGCTTTGGCTGTAACGTGTGACGACTATCATTCAATATCACAACCAAATTTGAATCCAAATAACCAGCATTACTCATCGCCTCATAAACCTGACCAGCCATGGTTGTTTCATTGCTGATGACTGCAACTATGCGGTCTCTTTTTCCTTTAAGGTCTCGTGCAACTGCCATGCCTGGGTGAAAATAATAGCAGAACTGCAATATTCAATAAAATAGCATGGACGAACGGATATCAAAACATTTTAAGTTTAAAATTGAAGCCAGGTTTACAGTCATAATGTGAGAAATACCAGAAGTTTTCAATAGATATATGGATAAGGAGATAGGCATTACCAAGTCCAGAAGATATGCTGCTGCATCCATGTCCTGCCCCAAATGGGTCGAAGTCACTCTCACAACATCGTGTAGAACTCCCAAGACCATTTCCTTCACTAAGTGCACTGACAAGGG